TTATTGCAAATTGTTTAGCATACAGTGTTTTTAAGCATTTACGCCTAGGACGTCTTTGCACTTTGACGATCACTTGCTGTATAAATGACCCTTGCCCTAATACATAAGCATTTCGGTTGGGTCTCATAAACGTCTGCTATGAACTGTTATTTATTTCTCAAGTCAAGAAAATGATTTCTATTAATATAGCTGTCCAATAATATGCTTCCTCTTGACCACGTATGTGCATTTTATTTTCTTGTGATTTGGTTTATATTTGGCAGGTAAATGTGTAATTAAATTGCTACATAAAAACGTACCCTTTGCACATTTCTTAGAGATACTTTGGCCAGTAGGAAGCACATAAAATTGGTAATAGGTTTCTAAAGGCTGTTGTTTAGTAACGAATATCAAAAATATTTTTCACAGTACACGAAGATTAGTTGGACTATTACAATGTTGTCTTTGGACCTGGCTTGTCTGTAATCTGAATATGTTTGTATTATGTATCACTGATTATTGGTAATCATCTATTTGCTATTATCTGAACTGTAGTCGCGAGATAAGTTTTCAAGGTTGCTCGATTGGATTGTCCTTGAAAACTGAGAGCGAGCGACGCTCTCTTTTTTATGTGTGTGTATATATATATATATATATATATATATATATATATATATATATATATATATATATATATATATATATATATATATATATATATATATATATATATATATTTGCTATTATCTGGACTGTGGTAGCGAGATAAGGTTTCAAGGTTGCTCGATTGGATTGTCCTGGAAAACCGAGAGCGAGCGACACTCTCTTTTGGAAATGAATGCAGGAGGAATTTTTGATGAGGATGGAATTTTCCAAGGAAATCGTCATTGCAATCATTGCAATCATAGCGGTCTGAATTTATACGTGGCAGCAGCAGTATAACCTGACAAGATCTTTAAGCAACGAGATGTTTTGTGTGCTGTTGAATTCAGCAGTACCAAGTTTATTTCATTATCTTGTAGAGGACAGTTCGTGGCTGATGGAGACTATGAGATATCGGAGGCTTCGAAGCAGGGGGAGGTTGGCATTGGAAAACTATTCGACATCAGAGATAAAACCATATCGTTTATCTGCAGTGTCTTCCTTGCTGTACCATAATGATTGATTAGTTTTTGGTGGCCCTTTCGCGCTAAGGGAGATAGTTGATATTTAGGTGTTGTATCAGCAGATGTCCTTCCTTTAGTTTACATAGGCAGAATTGTAGATCAGCTAACAAGAGATATTTACTCTGACGTACTTTCGTATTTTATTGTTTTAAAGATCCTTTGAAAAGACTAGAAACCCGATATATTTTACGAGAGTTTGCAGCCTCGAGAGCATTGAATCTCTTTCATGAGAGGAAAATTGGTAGGAAGGAGAACATAACGATTTTGTTAAAGTTATCCAGCGGTCTTTATGAAACTATTTTATTTGGGGAAGTAACGGAACAATAAATTGATGTTAATAATAAGATTTTGCATGTATAACGTTAATAGTCATAAATCACGGATATGCATCAATATTTTAAATAAAAAAATATAAAACTGTAATAAAATTAAGGATCTGCGCATTTAGTTATAGCGACACGTTTAAATAATTATTAGGTTTGTGTGAGTACTTGTTTGATTACTGGAATTCGATGCAATGGAAAATATTCCTTATTACTAAATAATTTGCAAATTACAAGGAGTAAGCGTCACGAAAAAACGTGTTAGTGAGTTTCCGTGAAGCCACGATAAATGAGTAGCGAATTTAGACACAATCCGCATGAGTGACCCTGGAGTGATGTAGTACGTAATAAAATCTAATGGTGAACATTGGTATTGTGACTGCATTGGCAGTATTTACGGTAGGAAAACGGTAAATTACACAATGTAATAAACAAGAAAGGACTCGGCAGATACCGTCTACGTCTCCATACTGGCAAAAGTGATGTAGTTTTATTGGAGTTAAGTACCTTGAAAGCATAGATTGACTGGCCTAAGATGGCGTAGTTAAAATAGTTCCGTGTTAGCGATAATTGTAGAGTTTATATGGCATCAACTGCTGACGGTACGGATAACTGATATAGAGAAACGATGCGCATGTGTGGTTGATAGATATTAGGAAAAATGTTGATAATGTGGTCTTGCATTGAGTAGAGTACAATTTAAGTATAGAATGTACACGTCGGACTTTACAGCTTACATATGAAGTTGTATAAAAGTCTTTGGAAATTTGGGGTAAACTAGTTGGAATCGCGCAAGGGTTTTGACACCGCTTGGTCAGGCAAGGACACCTGGCTTGTAAAAATACTCTTCTGTCAAATGTCTAACCAAGTGTATTAAAAGGATTAAGCAGCTTTATATATTTGGTATTTCCTCATACAATTACTTGCGATTGTTCGTTCTAGTCTGTTGCAGAACTTGAAAATATAAAAAGCAATTGATTCCATGTAACAAGCATACAAACAGTGACAAAATGGGATTGGGAAATCTTTATAAAATTATAACATACAGATCATAAATCATACATTGCACACAACTGCATATGCAGTGCTGCCAGTCCCATCGATGTAATCATTTAAGTAGTTTATCTGCATTTGTAATAAACTTCATTGTACTATTGAGCATCCCAATATATTTATAAGCTAACCCGCGGAGCCAAGAACCTCCAGTTATTCACATACGCTCATGTTAGCTAAATATATTTCTTAATTTTTCGACAAAGCAGACTCAATATCATTTCATGTTGTTATCTGCTTTGATTATTATATTAAACGTAATGTGGAGTCAAGAGACAGTGCTATTTGTCTGAAATGATGAAAAATATATCTATAAAAGCTGCAAAAAAATTAAAATTTTGTTATTATAGAAACTTCAACGGGATTTGATAATTTGTCCATGTTTACTTTTTCTCTGTATTTCATAACTATAGCCACTAAAATCAAAATGGCAGCCACACCAGTACTCAATGTAGAGGTCCAAAGAAACATTGTGTAGGTACCAGTTACATCCCGGATAATCCCTGCAAAGATAAGATACAAAATTAATTGTTCTGTTCTCATTACCTAATGACACAGGTTAAGGTGTAATGATACGCATGCGGTGATTAATTTTCTGAAGAAACAAATATGGATTCTAAAGGACCTGATAATAAATTTGCAAAGTATCAAGATCAAAACATATTTGAAAGCAAAATAATCATATTTACGACATAGAACACTAGTGAACACTAGTGTAATCCGATAGGCGATTACTCGATTCATTATTAGCTTTTACTGAATATGTCTTGTGAGATACATGAAAAGTTACAAAATGCACTCTGTTGATCTGGTTGGGAAGTAAAATTTAAATTTCGAATGTATTTGCCAAAGTTACTAAAATATTGGTGTGATAGTTGACATGTACTGCTGTACATGAAAACATAGTGAAAATAATTACGAAAATAAAACTAATAAATAAAATGACTTTTAAAACCGGTATTAAAACAGAACACATTTGTTAATATATAAACATTATCTCTAGAGGCCAACGTCCTCTACAACTTCCATCGGCATCCAAGAATCTTCTAATCGAAATTACAAAAGTTGTATTAAATATGTGAATAGCAACTCAATAGATAAAAATAGAAGAAAAAACTTGTTCCTGCCCTCTATACATCGAAGACGTCTATTAGCTCATTATGAAGCTTCAGAACTTCAATATCTTCTTTTTGTTGGTACATATCGAAGTTTCAATTTAGAAAATTCTTAATACTTTTGGAGATATATATCTAGCTACGTCATTATTTATGAAGGAATAAATCTAGAAGTAGGGAATTAATGGTGTGTTTCACATTTGTTATCAGCGATACACGGTTAGCTAGACTGTTTGTTAAAAAACAATAACAATACTGTTTTTCTAGTCCAACAGCAATGCCTCAAAACAACGGAGAGTGGAGATTCGAGTAAAGTCCCTGTCTTCCAGGGGACAATCATCTGCTGAAGCACCCATAATCCAGCCCATTGATGTAGCTTCGCATCCAATTAATAACGTTGTAAATAGGTGACTGATGGGTGTCTATGTGGCACTAACAACAGTATGACCGACAAACAAATATTGATAAATTACTGAGAATTATTATGTGGACATGCTTGAACGTCTTATAAAGATTATATCGAATTTTCCACATACGCTGTTCAATTTTAATCTGCAGATCTGTTTTGGTTTTTTTTGTCAGAAATGCCAGCCAAATACTATATTTATTCCAAAAATTTCTGCTTTTTCCAGTTATTGACTGTTGAAGAGGTGAACTTTTATGTACCTTAAAGATTGGAAATAAATTTATTATGCATGTCACTTTAAAATAAAAATATCAATGATAATGTTTTAATACCATTTAAAAAAAAAATGTTCTCTATTTGATTTTGGATTTGGGGTGGGTGGGGTTCTTTCCTGGTTGTTTTTGTTTTTTTTTCTTAGATCTCCTGCGCTCACTTGACTCTACAGTCATACAATAGTGATGTGATGTGAATGTGATTTTTAACACGGCTTTAAAAATTGTTCAGTCATATCGCTACGATGTCTGCAGTGTGGCAGTTTATAGTGATATCTAGCACTAGGGCATCATGCCGCAAACATGTGGCATGTCCCACCCAGTCACATTATCCTGAGGGGCCCCGAGTGGCCTAGTGGTCTAAAGCGCTGTCCGTTACGGATCACTGCCATCTCACCTCTGTCTGCGTGGGTTCGAGTCTAGGATTCGGCGAATGTGGATATGTGAGAAAGCTTGCCTGTAGCTTCTCATGGGTCGGTGGTTCTTTCCGCGGATTTCCCGGTTTCTTCCTCCACCAGTAATACTGGCCGCCATGAATAGCCTACCGTGTGCTGAAAAATGGCGTTAAGCACAACAACTACAACTACCACATTATCCTCACCAGGCCTACCAGTCTTAACACGAACCTCTTAATGCTGATTCGTCAAGCGAGGCAGCTGTTAGTACCATTTTGTCAGTATTTGGTATGACTAGAACGGGGATAGAACCCACGACCTCCCGCATCCGAGGCGGATGCTCTAACCACTATGCCACCGGAGTGGTTGTTATAGAATAGTTGCTTAGTGATTTTATTTTTAGAATAAGTCTATGTACATAAAATCGCTGTCATCGTGTGCAAAAATAAGGGTTAATTCTAGTTCAAATATATAAAACAATTTGATTATTCATACATAACAAGAATTTCTTAAATGTAAGCAGTCATAGAATAGTTGCTTACATTTAAAGAATGTTTGTTATCACCTACCGAACTGTAAGTTAAGATATAAATTGAATTAGTCAATTTTAAATTCCGTAGATTTATGTACATGATTATATTTGCAGAGTTCCATATTTAAACATCAAGACCACGTTTTGATGCAACCAAGATAAATATAAAGAGAATTACTAAAAAAAAATGTCCAAACTTAAGATTATTTTCCAGTGGATCAATTATTATTTAATGCTACAATTCCGATTTGGGAGAATACATTGAGTATACACTTCTTTAGACTGACTCTTTGACAGTTCACCCCAAAATCACCAAACTAGTCTTGCAGAGAAAAACATTGTGCCAATCATATATCTAATGTCCATAATCGTAACTAACCATCATAATCGTGCACGATAACAATTCTACAAATACAAACAACGAGATATAGCCATTACTTAATCTACCTTCTAATCAGCAAATATTAGTGGGTACGATACTGCGCCATTTTCAGTTCATTTTGTGATTCACAATCAAATAACAGGTTTCGAATTTCTGCATTAAAAATTGTGACATCGGGATATATCACTGTTAACGATTATTCTTTTTAGCACTAGATGGATGTGCCTATGTATCTCACAAAATGTTAACATATGCGCACCAAGACTTTCCAAGTCCACAAAACATAAACTTTCATCCGGGTATGTAGAAACTGCCTTATATACAAGATGTTGACTTTAATTCCATTGCACATTAATTAACAAGTCTCATAAAAAAAGAAAGCTATCCCGTATAGTACAGTATCGTTGGTATTTGCATCGATGCGGCTCAGAGAGAGAGAGAGAGAGAGAGAGAGAGAGAGAGAGAGAGAGAGAGAGAGAGAGAGAGAGAGAGAGAGAGATTAACGTGAATTTGCATGCAAAATTTTATTCTTCCAAATGATTGCAAAACCACATCTACTTCTTTATCTCCATTAGCAAAAGGTATTTTGCCCGTGTAGATGTATTTGTACTAACCACTATAAACTATTAGACAAAGGCATCATTATCTTTTATGTTGTCTATATTTCTATACAGCCACTCGTGACGGTGCAGATAAAGCACCAAAACAGCTAGCTACACCATCGTCTCTCGAAGACGGACGCAGGCCAACTACATTTCTAGAGAGATACTTGAATGTTCTTGTTCTTCTTGGCTAGCGAAAAAAAAGTCATGACATGTGCTAGTTGTTCTTTTTTGGGGGCTGTGCACTCCCTCACTATATGGTCTTTTATTACAATACGGTTTCTGCTATAACACAAGCAATGTCAATAATCCGATTTCTGTTTGTAGAAGTAACTTTATCTGCATCGTACTTAAAACAAGTGTCAATGTTTCCGTTGATCATCATAATACTGACTGAGTACGCTGAATTATGAAATATACATTACAGTAGAATGCGCCTAATTATGTAATATAAATCACATCATAGACAATGAAATGTGTGTTGAACGAAATAAGCAGAACGAGTTACAGGTTTACAGAACAAAACTTGGTGTTTGTGCATTACTAACGTAGCAGTTTACCTTTCTGCACATCATTTGTATGATCATAAAAACTCTAAGAATAGTATTAATTAGGCGTATGACCGAGCTAGTAAAACTTGAAAGTTATTTTACTGGGATTGCAACATTTGTATTAAGTTAACCCTCTTCAGGAACGAAATATGTATGCTATGATGTTGGATCTTACCTGAAATGGGTCCTACTACTACGTTTCCTACTCCCATTGACGCAAATACAATGCCAAGCCCAAAAGAGAAACGCTCAGATCCAATAATTTTCAATGTACCAATAGACATCGCTGTAACTGTCGCACCCATTTCAAATCCTAGAATGGAGCAAGCGATTACTATAGTCCAAAACTGTTCTGCAAACTGTATTGTTGAAAACGAGAGGACTGACATACACGCCAGAAGAAAGATTAACAACAAAGAACTAATTCTTGGTATTTGTTTTAAAAATCCAAACGATAGTCTTCCACAAATGTTGCAAGCACTGTGAATAACGAACGCTAGTCTAATATTTCCTTCTGTAAATCCTTGACTTTTCATTATGTCCACAAACATTATTATAAACCCACCGTGCGGAACATAAATAAATGTAATGCCAAATACAAATAATAGGAATATTTTGTTTGTCAAAACTGGATAAAATTGCATGAAGAAATTTGGTTTTCTACTCATTCCAGTGTTATCATTTGGTAACTTGCATACACTTTGTGAGGTTTCCGTTGATGTAAGCAAATCAGTATTCCAAAGTATCGATAGAATAGAACAGTTAAACAGAACAGCTCCCATGATTAAAAAGGCCCCACGCAATCCAAACGTATTAACACAGCCATTTAGGACATATGTGAATATTATTCTTCCTACGCCTGATGAAGTTGCTTGTACGGCGAGAGCAATTTGTCCATGTTTCCCAGGAAAATAATAAATCAAGGTTCTGCTTACACTTAAAACAACCAAAGAACATCCTATACCTGAAATGTAAACAGAAAGCGTTGTTTTGTCATTGTAAGAAACAAAAGGTAGCTACGACAAAAATAAATCTGAGTTCATTGTGCTTGGTCCGTCAGATTCTTTAATTTATAACAAGTTGGCTTCAGAATGCATGCTTTGCGTGCTTCCATGATACAGTTCTAAGAGAAGCATTTAAAATGTCCATGCAACTTGTTTAATTTATTTAAAGGGATGTGATTCTGATGTTAATGTTAGTTGCTTTCGTTCAATTACCGCGACTGTTATACTTTTGCTCAATATTTAGCTCCCAAATCATTCATAAATAAACAGTTCGAACAGAAAATATCTCAACAAAATGCATACGAAAAAAATGATAATGTGAAGGTGGAAAGGTAATTTATGTTCTAGCACAACAAAATGAATAAAATATGCTCTTTACTTGGTGGTGTTACATTTCTATGATGAAAATATACGTCATTGAAATTCACAATGTGGTCATCAAAAGCAACTATCAAAGCTGAGGAAATGCATATGGCATAGTATAATATAGTAAAGACATGATAAAATCAAGTATGACGTCGTCAATTCCAGTAATGAGTGTAGATACCATGGTGCATAAGAGAACATAAAAGGAAAACAGGTGGTTATACAATGGGGCAGTCATTGGAATTTATCATTGTGGGACCCTCTGGCCTACTAGATAGGAATGGAACATTGATGGGACTGTACAGGCATAAAGGGAATTGAACAGGGGTGACAGAACACTGTGGGTAACAACAGCATCAATGTTGCAAGTGGCTGACCTAAATTGGACGGAACAGTGAAGCATGGGGTTAGCCCGAATACTCGCTCCTATAGGGACAAAACGATACATAGACTTAAAGACATAGAGACGTGTGTAGAGACACAGACAGAGACATATACATATTAAACAAACATAGATTGATGGATATAAATCTGTCACAAAAAAAAACATCGATCAAATAGATTTTAGACAAGAGAGAATAAATAATGGAGGGGCCCTGAAAAGGGTCATTTGTTTTTTCTTTGTTAACTCCATTCGGATATTTGAAAGGAAATTGCACGGATATTTTTCTGTTCCTCAAACTTTGTCTGACTTCTGGACCGTAGATCAAGACTCGTCTTATACAGCTTTGTTTCTACACCTAGATTATTCTTTTCCAAACAGTCATCTCTCTGATCTTGGAAATTATCCATGACGGTCTGCATGCATGGGATGGATCGGGTTTAACATTATCGACGATAGTATGGTAGACAATTCCACGTTGTCCACATCTTGTGACTAGAACGAGTGAATGGGCTAACATGAACCGCAGTTGTTTATATTGGAAGAGCGGGTTGAAACGGATTGAGATCCTTCACCAATCCTAACACACGTTACAAAGTTCAGTCATATAGTGGAGCCTGTCAATGCAAAAATAGTTGTTTGTGAAGTCACATTCCCTATATAGGCGGGCTAGCGTCTGTGTTCAGTGAATCAGTGCGACAGAGTTAGAACATGATGGAAATTTAGAAGAAAATGAATTAAATTCCACCTGCCATGAAGACAAATAGTGATGACATAGTAGCGGATACTGAAACAAGCATAATCATACTTTCATAAGAGAACGATTTTAATTGGGAATTAAAATATTTTCTCTCTTCACAAGAATTTCTTCTGGTATCAGCACCTTCGCCGCTTTCTACTTCCTTCCCGTACATCGAGAATTTTAAACAGAGGAAGAAAGAAGAATTGGAGAAATGTATGCAACATCAGAAAAAAACAGCACAAGTCTTTCTCATACAACAGCAACAGTGAGAAGAATAGCCAAGAAGAAAACGACAGGAAGAAGAGGAAGCAAAGAAGAAACAAGGTCTAGGAGAGAAGGAGGACGGTGAAAGTCAAAAGGTGGCGGTACTCTTAGACATTTTGGCAGAGTTATGGAGTCAGAAACAAATGTATCAGACTTCTTCAATAATATGACTCCCCCCGAGCCAAACACTCCAATCCCGTCCACACAGTTACGACACGCGAGATACCAACACTAGTGATTTCTACCAAATCATCGACAGCAACAGGTCAAAAAGTATGCCTTGCCCATGGCAAAGGGATAAGACAGTTCAGACTGAAACCTTCCCGTTCCTTAGTTTGGTTTTGAAAACAAAGCAAAAAAAAAAAAACTCAAAGATCATTTCCTCTTCCAACCACCTCTCTCGAAAAAAGACTTCTCAGTGGTTTCCAAAATAAAGAAAATCTAGAAACCTCGGTCACTTTGGTCTGTCTCGCAAATCATCAACATAACATCCCTTCATCCACATTTATCCCTCAAACTGATTCGTGCTATCT